GAGAGAGAGAGAGAGAGAGAGAGAGAGAGAGAGAGAGTACTATTTAACAAGCTTCAATTTTATAAAATTATAAGAAAACAATTTTAAGGATCATTTAACAAACTTCATTATCATAAAATTACGAGAAAACAATTTTTAAGGAAATCATTCATAACCAACCCACTTGTTTATGCTATGTATTAAATCATATTTGCTTAAAGTTTAACAAATAGATTCATGGGTTCTCTATTGTTTATTTCTCTAGTTGTTGGGATACCAGAACTAAGCTTGAAGATGGTCTACCACCTTCTTGTCTACTTGGAATGCCTTGGCAAGAACAGCATTAGAAATTGAAATATCTAGAAATCTCCTAGATATATTCCACAAAAATATATTCTGAATTGTTAATGGCACCAGTATTGTACTACTAGTTGTTGTCAAAGAAAAGAGACAGTATATTACTACTATCTGTCAAATAGCATATAATCACTATTTGTTTTTCCAACCAAAATATTATTTTGTAAATTCACAGAAAATAATTTTCTTCCGAAATTATTTACGAAGAATGAAAAAGGAAAACAAACGAAAAATTCTGTAAGCAGAATTATTCGAATCTGTCTTAAGATTGTTGGAACAATCTTCTGTGAATAATAAATAAAATTGAAACAAATAAAATAAATTACGTACCGAATTTATTTTTACCAAACCGAATGAATATTTAAAAGATCAAGTCGAGTGTGTGACACTCTATCCTTAAGATAGATTCGCCCTGCTACGGTACTTACGGTTGAGTGGCATCTATCTCCTAGGATACTATGATCTTCACAAATTATAGTAGTACTCCAAACAATTTGTTCGGCGAACCGAACCTTGTGTTCTAATACTCTCTTTAATTTATTCTAAAACTAAAATGAAGAATAATGCAAAAGTAGAAAATTTTGGACAACAATGGGACAAAATTTCAGACTATTTTTCTAACCTCCCGACTAATGGAATCAAGGCTGAATTTATAGGCAAATTTCCAAAGCCCCAAACCGGTGTAAAAATGGTAAACGTGTGCCTTATTCAAATGAACAGATCTGTTTGCAAAATGAATTTGACTGTTGCTTATTTTCAAGCAAATTGAAAAAGGTTCCGAAGACGGAACAGTACCTGTTGGAACTGTTGGGATAAAACATTAAATAATTTGAATAGTTTATTCAAAAAAGCTAAAGGGGAAAAGTTTCTAAATAACTGGAATACTAATATTAAACTATTTGAAATAGTTTAATCATTTTTTAGGAAATCATTTTAAAAAACCAAAAATAAATTTATAGAAGCACTTCAAATAAATTTTGTCTTTTCAAATTAATGTTAAACCCGAAAACGACGTCAACTTCCCATTCACTCAAAAATGGTTTTGACGTTCCGTTTTCACCGTGTGACTTGCCACGCGGCAAGGAACACGTCACCTCTTCGAACCCACCCCAAAAGACGTTTGGGACCCACTCAATTTTGGGCTAAAAAATATGCCTATATTAAACTATTTTTCCAACAAAAAATCTCGGGTTGGTGGTTTGAATCTTACTTGTACATTGAACCATGGCATGAAAGTGTATGTTTCCATCTTTGTGGAACTCCCTTGAGACAAGTATGTAGTATAACTGATAAGCTAGTTGGAGAAGGGATTAGAGGAGTTCTAAGTGTTGTTCTTTTAGACAAGGGCATTGCGGGTAAGTGAGCAAAACATTCTTCGCATATAAACGAAAAGAAGTTTGGCAAGGCATTTTATAGAGGCAAACAGTAAACTCACACCAGCTGTTCATGGGCTCTTTATTAGTTACAAAGTCTAATGTGAATAGTGTGAGTAATGTGATTACGGGGTGCTGTATTAATATTATTAGCGCCTCCTTCCCATTGATCTGAGTCGTTCATTGTTGCACTTGTGGACAGTATATAGATGGGGTTAAAAGGAAGTCACACTCAAAGCCAAGTATGAGTGGCGTGAGTATTTTTGATTAGCATGAGTATTTTTGATTTCTTTACTAGGTAGCGAGAAAAACTTTTCACTAAAAACTTTAAAATTTTGAAAGGAAAAATAATACCCTCACTATCATTTTATTTTATTTTTTACTTTTGTTTGTGTTGCCTTTCAGTGGTAAGTTTTTAATTTTTTTTTAAAGAGTATTTTAAATTTAAAAATTATTATATATGTGGACAGGTCACGTGTTAGGATAAACTTATCATGTATTTTTCTTTAAATTTTCTGTTAACTCGCGCTATAATTTTTTTTTTAAAAAAATAAATAATTTAACAAAATTAAATTGTTTATACATATTTTAATATATTTTAAGGGTACAAGTCTATTTTTGAAATTTTTATATAGGTCCAAACTTTAATCTTTTGGGCTCAAAAAATGCACTTGTGCTCAAATTCTATGTATATATGTCCAAATCTCATAAATTTATACATTAATAATGTTTAGTAACTCGAATTTTTATAATCTGAATGGCTCGAATGTTTTAAAATAACGTCATTTTAATACATTCGAATTATTCAAACAATACAAATTTGAGTTACTAAAGAATTTTCTTTATATATCTTACCTATTTTTCTATATATATGTATAAATATTACTTATCAGTACGTATATAGTTTATCTGTTCAATGTCAGTTATATATATCCACATTACCACTATTAGCTGTAACAATGTTTCTCACCAATCTTCTGGGGATTTCTAGACATATTCTTATCACCAAAAAAAAATTAATCATTGGACTCAATATCGTATTTTCCTGTAAATATAGACTTTTTACAAGTAAACTCTTTAATATCGCTTGCCATTTAGTTAAAATAATTAAAAAATTAAAAAATCATAATAAATTGTTACATAATCTTTTTTACTTTTTCATACGTCTTTTCATAAATTTTTTTAAAACCAATTAAATAGATAATTTTTAAAGAAGACCTCTATTTTAAGGGATTGTTTAGGATATTCTAAATAAGTATATATTTTTATTTTTTATAAAAAGATGTGTAAAAAAAAATATATATATTAATTGATATAACTTGAAAAAAATAAAAAATATAAATTTATTTAATCTTTCCAAACTTGTACTAAATAAATCAAAAAGGAAAGTACATAATATTTCAAGAAGAGAAGGTGGGTGCGTTCCCAAACAAGGGTTTGCTTGAGATCATGATATCAGCAGAGCACACACGAGGCAGAGAGAGAGAGAGCGATGAATCAATTTTCAACGGTCATTGACCGTTATTTTTCCCGCCAAAGGTGTCCCCGTCTCAATTTCAACACATTCCATAATCATCATCATCGTTTTAGTTCGATTCAACGATCATATCTCCAACCCACTTCACACGCTTCAATCCTTCAAGAAGTGAAAGAGCTAATAAAGCCCCTTCAACAAGTTCATGCCAACATAGTCACCTCTGGTCTCTCTCAAAACATCTTTCTTTCCAACAGATTAACGAATTCATACGCTTCATGCGGACTCCTAGACGACGCTGATCAGATTTTCCATCGAATTCCCTGTAAAAATGTAGTTTCTTGGACGATTCTGATATCTGGGTATGTGAAAAATAGCCTTTTCGTCGAAGCCATTGATGTCTTTCGCGCAATGGTGGTAATTAGTGGCTTACAACCAAATGCAATTACGATTTCAAGCATTCTACCTGCTTTTGGCAACGTGGGTTTGATCCAGATCGGGAAATCGGTCCACTCTTTTTGGATTCGACACGGTTTTGGAACAAATGTGTTTGTGGAAACCGCCATGGTTGGTATGTATTCGAAATTTGGACGCATAAGTGTTGCTCGGCAATTGTTTGATAATATGTCGGAGAGGAATACTGTTTCGTGGAATGCTATTATTTCGGGTTATTCTGATTATGGGTTTGGTGAAGAAGTGTTTAGACTTTTCAGTTTGATGCGGAGAGATGGGTTTTCTACAGATTGTTTTACAATAATGAGCTTAATATCGGCTGCTTTAAGTATAGAGGGTTCACGGGTAGGCGTGGAAATCCATAGTTTTGCAATAAAAACAGGGTTTAATAACGATCAACTTGTTAGGACTGCTTTGATGAATATGTATGTAAATGAAAAATGCATTGAGGATGCTTATTTGATCTTCAATGAGATGGTTGTGAAGGATGTGGTTGCTTGGACCTTGATGTTAACAGGGTTTTCAAGTGGTCAGTATTGGAACAAGGCCGTAGAGCATTTCAATGAGATGATGAGATTAGAAGAATTAGAATTGGATTCTGTTGCTTTGACAGGCATTCTGTCGAGCTGCTGCAGTTTAGGAGCCCTGCAGGAAGGCAGACGGGTCCACGCATTGACAGTAAAAACAGGATTTTCACATGATATGTTTGTGGGATCTGCTATAATAGCCATGTATGCAAACTGTGCAAATTTAGAAGAAGCAAGAATTTTTTTTCAAGAGATGGAGGAAAAGGATGTGGCATGCTGGAATGCTATGATTGCTGGAAATGGGATGAATGGGTATGGTAATGATGCGATTGATCTCTTTTTGAGGATGAAAGGTTCAGGCATTAATCCAGATGAATCGACTTTGGTGTGCATCTTGTGCGCTTGTAGTCACACTGGGATGGTTGATCAAGGACTTCGTATTTTCAATCATATGGTTGAAAGTTGGAATATAGTTCCTAATTCAAGGCATTATGCTTGTGTTGTTGACCTTCTTGGCCGTGCAGGGCGATTAAGTGATGCTTATTCATTGGTTAATAGCATGCCATTGAATCCAGAGTTTGAGGTTTATTGTGCCTTGCTTAGTGCCTGTAAAGTCCATGGCAATATTGAGTTGGGGATTGAAATTTCAGAGAAACTATTTCAGTTGGAGCCAAATGATGCTGGTTACTACGCATTGCTCTCAAACATGTATGCTTTGGCAGGAAACTGGGAGGGTGTGAAGATGACTCGAGTGTCATTGAGATCAAAAGGACTAAAGAAGGACCCAGGTTTTAGTTCAATTGAGATAAATGGAGAATTGTACACATTCATGGCTGGACAGAAGGATCATCCCCAATACTCTGAAATTGATGGGCTATTAAATTACATGATACTAAAAATAAAAGAAGTGGGTTATGTGCCTGACACAAAATTTGTACTTCAGGAATTGTCAGATGACGTGAAGAGGGATATCCTATATCATCACAGTGAGAAGTTGGCTATTGCTTTTGGATTGGGGAGAACAAAGCCTGGAACAATCATTCGGATCACAAAGAATCTCCGAGCATGCAATGACTGTCACTCTGCAAGCAAGTTGATTTCCAAAGTTTTTGAAAGAGTTCTTCTTGTTAAAGATGCTAAACGCTTCCATGTTTTTCAAGATGGAGTTTGTTCCTGCAAAGACTATTGGTAACATTAAGAACATTAATATATATTGATAATGAATTCTTTTATCCAGTTATCAAGCACATTCTTTCAAGTTTGTAGTCTGATAGAATGATGCATTTGTTATTCATAAATTTGTGGTCAAATGCAGGGGAATGATTCAGTCATCCAAGGTATAATTATTGAATTATCCTATTAAAAATCAGTATTCATTTCAATGCTTAGTCTGGTTTATGGCAGTGTTCTGATCTGAGATTCATAGTTTGGATCTATTGTTTGTGCCAGATACTGGGTCTATTATGCTCGGGGATTAACCTGAAAGTTACAAGATCTGGAGGAGAATATAAAGAAGGTGCAATTCTTATTTTACAATTCTAAGATGGTAAATATGATTCGTTTTACTAAAATATCGAACTTTGTTGTGTATATTGGCTGTTTACGGTTGATGGTTCTTGGCAATTTTTGCAGTTTTGGGGTCTTTGGTTGGATCTTTACTATACTTCATTAAGGTATTATCATTACAAGACCAGCATTGTTTCAGTTTGAGTTGAACTGCCACTTGAATGCCTTTGGAGGATTTCATGGTAACCAACACCACAAGACACTATAGATACATAAAATCATTTGATATATATAGAAATATAGATGCATCTATATATAATACTAGATGGAGTGGAGGAATTAGAGAGTTGTCATAGATGAAACACTATACAGGAGAAGAAAAGTAAAGAAAATAAGTAAGTAGATAAATTGTTGTGTTGTTCTATTTAATGTAAAGGAATTGACTCAAGTAAAAATACAAGTTAAATTACTTTACTGCTATCGTTTTATATATCCGCATGCGTGTATATCTTTTGAGGTCTCGGACCATTAAGAATGATGGTGGGATTGTCCATCATCATATTTCAGTTTGTCACAAGACTCAACATGGTGTCACCATAACTGTTAAAAAAAAATATTTGTTACACCGGTGAACTTCTTAAGTATGTTTTCTTCATTGATGTCTATAGTACACTCGTAAGTTTTCTTTCTGAAATACTAACTGATAAAAATAACATAGTCCTACCAGGTATTTGTTATAAAATATCCAGACATCAATAATGTATACATATTATTGATACATCCAAACCTTTACATTCCAACACCTTCTATGTTTTAAGTTATTTGTTAAAAAGGATAGAATTACAATGCATTGCGCGTGCATTGTCACTAGTAAAAGAAAAAAGGGAGATATATATTTATAACAACCACAGAATCACTTATCCACTGGCTATTATTGTGGGTGATATTTGAGGTGATCGGTAAAATTAAAATTGTCCTACCTGACCACAACACTGGGGTGATGGTTACTATAATAAGAATATTCATGGGTCTTTTGTTACATCCATTATGAATGTGTAATCATAGTAAATGACATATGGTGAAAATCACAGAGTAAACTTATTAAGTAGCAATTAATGACCGGTATAAAACTAACCACTTATCTACCCTAAAAAAAAGAAGAAAAAGAAGCAAATAATGACCCAAGACTACAAATGATAATGTATATATAATGTACCGACCATGACATCACACAAGGAATAAAATCACAATGTTACATTACATGCATTGGCTAACTTCTTTACTACAATCCAGCTTTCAAAATGCATAAAAGTTTACTTCTGCAACCAAGTATTGTTCAACTTGACACGCAAAACAACTTAAAAAAGAGAGGAAAAAAAAAAAATATATATATATATATATCAAACTTTGCATAGTTCACATTTCTGATAGAAATTATAGTTCGCAGCTAACCTTATAGGGTTAGTGCGAGAAAAACGAGGGTAAAATCACGGGTCAATCAGCCACTTCTTGAGCATTTGCACACTCAACTTCGATAACTCAGAAGACATGGACCAGCATCTCCTTTTCCTTTATAAGCTCAAATATGCATACATCACCTTCCTTGAGCTGGTTCGCAAGGACGAAAGAACGCCACCCTTCAGAAAATTTGTGCCTCCCATTGATAAAAAGTACAGTCACGTTCCAATCTTTCCCTTTTGAATCCCACAGGACAATGTGCGATTTATCTAGAGGAAAGTGCACCACAGAGAAGGGCTTGTCGATGGGCTGCATTAATCATTGATCAAGGATTTCAGATAAGTAAGTTCTAGGAATTCAGTAAAAGGAGACAAACGACCCCACACACGGACACATGCATACACACAACTAGTACAAATTTAGGATCACCAATTTTATGGCGTGTTCTTTTTTCCTTTTTTTGTTCTTCGTTAAGTAGTGATAAATTAAGTCTAGTGAACCCTTTTAGTGGCTTTGACTTTGATAAATTACACTCCGATAGGATATAATGCGAAATTCCTTACTGCATAGTGATAAATGTGCTTGTACGGAAGGAAGGTTGGACTAAGATGCTCAATTCATGATAAAGAGAATCAGAGCCAGGTGCTCTTATTTGATGTGCAGTTTGGGCAGCCAGGTCCTCGGGAAAAAAAGAAGAAGGTAATTATGTATTTACTTAGTAATATGATCAAATATAAGAAAGTAAGATTGAAACGCTTTTTAAAAATTGTTCCGTGTTGACATAAGCAAGACAGGCTATGGAGGTGGTGGTGAGATTTTAATTCCTTGGCACAACTTGGAAGTTATAGAAAGGTTCGTTGGGGTCCCCCCAATTCTATGATCTGCTTGAAACACACAGATTTCCACTAAAAAGAAGCAAGAAAAAAAATTGATGCCTATTAGACCTAACTTATTTGTTAAAACCTATCACCTACTTCACCCACTAAACCTAACCCACTACACCACTACCACCTCACCTACTCTACTAAACCCACTACACCACTACCACCTCCACTTCACCTACTCCACCTACCACCTACTACCACCTACTCTTCTATATATAGGAATCATTGTAGCATTCAATAATAAAAATCAATATAAATCAATCAATAATACAATTCTCTATTTCTCTTTATACATTAAATTTCTACATTATTAGACTAAGAACAGTAACTAAAATGCAAGGAAGGATTGGGGATATATATATAAAGGATGAAGCATACTCACCAGAAAAAACATTTTATGCACATCATAATATTGTAGGCAGCGCTTGTAACAAGGAAATTTGGAGACAAATGAATCAGCTTTTTCCAGAACTCTAGCTCTTTCTTCTTCAGTTGGAGGCCGCATTGTCTGTGAATGCTGCTGCTCCTGTTTTTCACATTTTCTTTTCTTCCTTTTGCTGTTGTCTTTCTCCTCTTCATTCATCTTGAGCTGTGAATCTGCTTCCCTTGTTGGCTCTATTTCTTGCCCTTTAATATTACTTTTGGTGTGCTTGACCTTCCGTGAATGGTGTTTCTCATGTGTTTCACTCTTTCTTTTCTTCCTTTTGCTATTAACTTCTTCCTCTTCATTTACTTCAAGCTGTGAATCTGCTTCCTTGATCGTTGGGTACACTTTTTTCTCTTTAATCTTCTTTTTGGTGTGCTTGATGTTCCGCAAATGGTGTTCCTTGTGTATTTTACATCTCTTTTTCTTCCTTTCCTTGTTGTCTTTGTCCTCTTCATTCACCTTACTCTGTCTATCTGATTCCATGATGGTTGGGTCCATTTCTTTCTCTTTAACCTTCCTTTCGGTGCGCTTGATCTTCTTAAATTTTTTGACCCCTATTAATTATGACAGGTAAAGCTCAAACAAGTTCCTTCTAAAGCATATGCAATTCAAGATTCAAATACTAGCCTATGTGTGTGTCTATGCAATGCATAAATGAATGATCACATTACACGTGCTTAAAATCCAAATGATAGTAGTTTTTAATTTTTTCAGTTATCCCACACATTGACATTTTTGGGTGTATGCAGGTGCAAATGTTTCTGTCTGTGCTGCTTTGTGCATGTGAGGTTTCAGAATATTAAATACACGATACCTTGAGCATATTTGCAAGATTTTGATTGGTGAAGTGGATCATCTTTCTTTGTTGGTCTGCCACATTTTCTTTTTCTGCTTGATGCAGCTTCGAAAGTTTGTTTGCAAGGTTCCGGCTGACGAAGAATAAGGGTATCATTTGCTTTGTTCTTTCTTAAACTGCCAGATGTCCTTTTCTCAGTGGAGGCAGCTTCGGAAGCACATTTGCAGGACTCAGACTTATGAAGATTAAGGACTTCAACTGCTTTGTTCTTTCTAGGTCTGCCAGGCCTCCTTTTCTCATTGGAGGCAGCTTTGGGAGCACATTTCCAGGGTTCCGGCTGACAAAAAGTAAGGGTACCATTTGCTTCATTCTTTCTTAATCTGCAAGATGTCCTTGTCTCAGCGGAGGCAGCTTTGGAAGCACGTTTGCAGGACTCAGACTTATGAAGAATAAGGGTATCAACTGCTTCGTTCTTTCTTGGTCTGCCAGGACTCCTTTTCTCATTGGAGGCAGCTTTGGGAGCATGTTTCCAGGGTGCAGGCTGACAAAGAATAGGGGTACCACCAATTGCTTCGTTCTTTCTTGGTCTGCCAGGCCTCCTTTTCTCATTGGAGGCAGCTTTGGGAGCATGTTTCCAGGGTTCCGGCTGACAAAGATTAAGGGTACCACCAATTGCTTCATTCTTTCTTGGTCTACCAGGCCTCCTTTTCTCATTGGAGGCAGCTTCGGGAGCACGTTTGCAGCGTTCCAACTTACGAAGAACAAGGGCATCAGTTGCTTCGTTCTTTCTTGGTCTGCCACATCTCCTTTTCTTGTTGGGGGCAGCTTTGGGAGCACAGTTGAAGGACTTGGACTGATGAAGGTTAATTGGATCAACCTTCTTTCTCCATCCTCCTCGTTTCCTTTTTCTAGTGGGTTCTGGATTAATAAGTTCTGAGTCTTTTAACTGATGAAGGTGAAGAGAATCGATTTCGTTCTCCGCCGATGTGCCTTGTTTAGAGGTGTCAGCTCCCTGATGTTTACGGGTAAAAGATGCGCTGGCTCTCTCCAATCCATTCACATCATAAATTTGCACGCTGAAATGTAGATTTCCATCGTATCTAAAGATTAAAAACTCGTCTTTAACTACTTTGTGATTTCTTACGAAGTCTGACCAACCATCTTGCAGATAAGTGCCATTTTCCTTCTTACGTAACACAACGGTCCAAAGGTCACCAGAAGGGCTCTTCAGAGTTGCTTTGTCAGCCGCTTCATTCACTAGATGGTTCATAAAGTGCGGTGGGATTTCCTGCAAGTAATGATTGCAAAGAAAGGAGGAGAAGATAGAAATTGACAGCTTCTGAATAAAGTGAACACACAAACATAAAGCGGTAAGTTTCACCAATTACAATATTACTATTTAAAGATCTTATCATATATTGATCATGTATTTCATTGAAATATCGTGTGATTAGCAATCAATAACTTGCAAAGTAGATTTATATATGGTGCCTCTATTTATGATTAATTTATGCAGTGATTTGCGTCAACTTTACCTATGATAGCCATGCATCCAATTAGGGTTATAAGTGTTCTTTATAGAAATCTTGCACATTCTTGATTCACAGCTAAGACATTTCAAACATCTGGGGAAAATCATTAATTATGGCTAAACCCTCATTATCACTCACACAAAAATGCACATAGCGTCATATGCTGCCATTATAAAGTTACTGTTAAACAAATCTAAGAGTACAGTTAATCTTGGTGTTTGAAAAATGCAACACAGATGTCAAACTCGAGTCACCATTAATGACGCAACATGGTTTGAACAGTAATGAAACTTATAAACTGAACTGTGGGGTTCCAATTACTGATAAAAAGCAGAATTGATGGCCCATTTCTAAATTGAAGATTAGTCCTCCTGAATTTCTAATTGTACTGTTTTTAATAAATTGAGACAGATACGCGATCCGTGTGCAGAAATGACGGTTATTACCATTATTTGAAAAATAAAATAAAATGAATAAAAAACTTAAAATATCAAAATTTGAAGTAAAAAATCTAGACAGTTGCATAGGGTAACTTGGGAATGAAAACATGTATGATATAGCTTCAAAACATGTTATGAGCATAGTTGTCAAATCGGGATTCAAATCCTAAATCGAAATGGTTTCGTACCGAATTGCGAATCGAATCGAATTGTGAATCGTCAAGATTCGGTCACTTTTTCTATATTACTTAGAAAAATATATCTACACCCTTGAATGTTAAATATATCTTATAAATATAAAATATTTAGACTTAAATCAATGAAAATGTTATTTTTAATGATTGTCACATAGTTTAATAGGTAAGAAAGGTTCTTACGTAAGATCACTATCTTACATTTTACTCCTTTTTTTGATATTTCTTATCAACCATTCTTAATAAAGATAGTAAACAAAAACAAACTCTCAATTTCCAAAGTAATAATAATTTAACAACAATGTTAATATTTAAACAATAAGTATACATACTTTTCCAAGTAACAATGACCAAATATCAAAATTATTTAAGATCTTTTATTTTAAAAGCCTAAAACTTTTTAAAAAGTATAACTGACATCACACATGTAATATTCAACTATATTTAATTTGATAAAATAGTAATAGGTAATTCATGATGTAAGTTATTTTAATCTTAACGCAGATATATTTTGATTTTTTAAGGGAAAAAATGAAAAGAAAGGTTAAAAACATGTTAGGTTTAACTGAATTTGATGAGATCCTATTAAAAACTCCATGATCACTAAAATGACAACAAATCATATATATTTATTGGTTATTTTGGTACTAAATGCTATTAGAAATTGTATTATGTCATTTTCATGATAAAGATGGAGAAAAAAATAGTTAAAAATATGTCGGGCACAATAATTTCATGAATTGTATGAATCGTGAAAAGTGAATTGAATCGTGAATCGATTGTGAATAGTGAAATTTACTATAGATTCACTTCCAAAATAGATTTATCCATAGATTTGTATCGATTTTGTAAAAATTGCGAATCAAATCGTACATTGAATCACGAATCATAACAGAGGTTATGAGCAGTGTGATTTATGTAATTGAACAGATATAAGAAAAAGTAAAAGAGGATTCAGTGAAATCCTACATCAATCTATTCTACACATTAGGGTAACAAATCATTTTAATCTCTTTTTTTTTTTTTTGCCCTTAACAGTTAACAGAATGAAAAGAAAGTACCCAAATTGGCCATATATATATATATATATATCTATATCTATATCTATATTAAGCTTTGACAAAGAATCAAAGCAGAAGAAAGCAGATCCACTACCATTGAAAGAATTCAAGCATGCATGCATTGAAATTTTTTTTAAAAAAAACCGAAATTTCTGATTATCAAAGATCAAAATCAATCTATGAAACTGCTCAACCACACATGCCTAACTAAAATCTATGTACAAGAACTCCGAAAAAATGCTATAAATTCAAACTTGATATGATATATGGATCATACTCTGAATAAATCTGCTCTATACATTTCATTTTCAGATTTTTTTTCTTTTGGATGTGTAGAAAAGAGGAAGATCTAACTTACCAACTCCACACTTGCTGAACCTTTGATAATCTTGTAGAAGGAAGGTCCATCATCCGCAAACACACTCTTGAAATTTTTTCTCACTGGTACCAACTCCATGGTTGATGTTGCATGTGAGCTTCAGAGGGTTTTGGGAGGAGGCAGGGATGAATATATATGTATGATGAGTTGTCAAGGCAGCTTAGGAAGAGGGACAGAACAGGCTTATGTAGCAAGCGTGTTGCCAAGTGTTGAATATATATACATGTGTAATGTATAAACTAGTGATGGGTGTAAATGCGACGTGTTTGTAATTTCATATTTTAAATTTTGAATTCTTTGATGATTGAGGGGTAATTTGATGAATGAGGAAAATTATTTAGTTATTTTGGACAGTTTGATAAATGAGGAAAATTATAATTAATGGATGCAGCACTTACGGGATGTGAAGGGTATTTTTGAAAATTAAAAGACTTACGGGATGTGTGAATATCTATATTATTATCTATACTTTTATATACTATTATATAAAGCACACAGTTCATTTGGTGTGAACTTATGTCATGCATTTTTTTAATACCTTAATTGTCTCTATATAATAATCCAATTCTTTAATTTTAAAATTTAAATTGTCATATCTTTAGCTGTTTACATTCAAATTTGCAATTGTTCTGCATGTTTGTAATTTAATATTTAAAATTTTAAATCGTTTGATAACTGAAGAGTGGTTTGATGAATGAACATGATTTATCAATTTTGAATGATTTGATGAATGAAAAAAAATTATATCGTAAATATTAAATATGACAGTTAGTGAATGTAAATTATACTTTTGTAAAGAAAAAAAAAAATTCACACTAAATATGATGTAGATTTTACATAATAAAATGAATAATACTGTATGCACCAATTAGTATACTAACTAGTGTATCAATTGATAATGTAACATAATTTAAAAAAAATTAGTATTTGTAATTTGTATAATGAGTGGGATCAATAATAATGTCATAATTAATATTAATATAATAATTAATACATTAATTAATATATAAAATACTTCCGTTATAAAATAGACACATATATGTAACCATTGAGGATAGGCATTGGAGTGCTTGAGGGATTTGATGGGTGTGAATGGAAACAAGGTTTAGCATTTGTGGACTAATAAATGACAACTCACACACTCATTAATGACTATTGATTAGAGATTGTGGCCTATTTTGAGAAGTAGGTTAAAAGTCACTTCTTAATTTTTAACTCATTTTTCTCTTACAAATTTTTTTTTAAAAGTCAAAAAATAATTTTTAACCATCTTCTCAAAACACTCCTATATTTACACTAAAGTTTGTTACACCATCTACTTTTGGAGTTATATTCAAAATCTACATTATTCGGGGAAGATCAAAATTTTAAAAAGCAGTTTCAGTCGCTGTAATGATTGCGGGGCATAAAAGTCGCAGTGTAATAGTTACAGCAATTGAAACCGTGATTTTTTTTTAATTTTTTGCACAATTTATAGAAAACTTACTAATACGCATATTTTTTCCCTCCTAGAATCACATTTATTAGCATTTAAAATAAATTTTGACCAATTGTTGTTAATTTTTAAGTATGATCTAATACATTTTATATTTTCAAATCACTATAAAAGGAATTTTTTATATTTTATTTCAATAGTTAATGGCTTTAAGAATAATTAATTTTAAATGTCTACATTTTGACCAATACCTGAACTAAATGAATAAAAAATATTCACAATTACTAAATGAAATGATTATAAAAATAAAAATTGTGCCATAACTAAAAATTATTTTTGAGGCATTTTTTAGACAATACTTTACAGGTAACTAAATAAAATTATTTACAATTAAGTATTAAATGAAATGATTATAAATTAAAAAATTGTGCGATAAATAAAAAATATTTTTGAGTTTTTTAAAGACATTTTTTAGAAAACACATTACAGTAACAAAATAAAAAATATTTATAATTAAATATTAAATAAAATGATTATAAAAATAAATACAACCACTGTTTATATATATTTTTTATTTTACATACTAATGTAATGAAATAAAAATTTAAAAAAATTATAAAGAAAATAAATTCATATAAAAAATTGTCTTTGGGCTTGGATCACTTGAATATTTTTTTTAAAGCTTTTATTTGTTTTTATTTTTTTTTGGAAAGAAAGTTATTCAGAATATTATAAAATGGTGAAACGGTGTATAACGGACCGTTATGGCTGTTGCGGTATCGCTACAGCCGTTAACACTAAAACGGCTGTTACACATGTGAATTTTCGTCACACTGTTATAGTGGTCGTAACCATCACAACCATTACGCAACGGTGTTACGTAGTGGCTATGGCCGCTTTTTAAAACCTTAGGTAAGATGCATCATTATTAAAAATTGCATTTTTGCGTTAATAAGTTGTCACAAAAATTGTTCTTGTTAGGGATTTTTAATGATAAATCTCATTTAAAAGTGTTCTAATCCAAGAAGTCTACGAAGAAATTTTTTAACCTACTTAATCCCATGTATTTATACTTTTATTCCATAAAGTTGTAATAAAAGTTGTTTTTCTTGATTTATATTATTTTCTTAGACTGTTATGCCCTTATATTTAATATTGATTTTTAATGTTGGGGAAGGATAGAGAAGGAAAAGGACCAAGGCATAAGAAATTTCATAAACAAATTAAACAACACTGATGTTATTATTTTATATTATTATATAATGTGAATATATTTTTAATTGACAACACATTAAAAATAATGTGAATATTCTTTCTCATTTGATGTGAATGTTCATAATACATTTTCGAAAAATTCTCTCTCATCTAATGTAATGATATAAATGTTCACAACATGTAAACTTTCTTATTTTTAACTGGCAACACATTAAAAATAACGTTCATTAGATTTTTAATTGACAACACATTCTTATTCATAATATGTGGTGATGTAAACGTTTACAACATATGAACATTCTCTCTCACAATGTAGTCATGTGAACGTTCACATTCGTATGTTTTAGTATGAATATTTACATCATGTAATTGACAACAGAATCACAAAAATTCATTTCAAATTAATGTGAATATAATGATGTGAATATTCATTTCAATTACATGATGTGAATATCAACATTAATAGGGGCATGAAAAATTGAGGGTGTTTTGGTCTTCTTACTTCAAATAGGATCTAATAAAATAGTAAAAAAAAATATAAATTAAATAGAATAAAACTCTTAACAAGAGAATTTACCGAAAAAACTCCCTTTTTGTTATCTAATTTTTATTTAGCATTGACACATTGACAATATAACTAAAAATAAAATTGATGCGGTAATAAAAAATTACATTTATGTGTCAGCAAGTTGCCAATGCCACCACAAAAATAGTTTTTTTGTTCTCGAAATCTTTTAGTGATGACACATCAGCAATATAACTCAGAATGAAATAAATGGGATAAAAAAAAATTACATTTTTATGTTGATTTTTTTTTTTAGTAGGTAAGTTATAAATTTATATCAAAAAATAAATAGGGTAAATTACACTGACCTCCCCTGAGGTTTACCTTAATTACAAGGACTTTCCTGTAGTTTCAAAAGTTACATAGACTTCCCTTACTTTTGAAACTAATATACAGATACCCCTTTCCCATCAAAAGAGCATTAACGATGTTAACTTGACAGTGAAATTGACCATAATACCCTTCAACCCATTGTCTTCCCCAAAGACCTAACCCACTTTGTATCATCAGCATCTTCCTCTCTTTACTACTCAATTCTGCTATTGTCTTCCTCACACTCTCTTCCCAAACCTCTCTAATCAAAAACCCAAAACCCAAACCAACAATAACCCGATCAAACACACACTCATATTTCGACAATTGATCAAACACACTGTTATTTTGACAATTCAAGGGTTTAAGTAAGGAATCAAGACACATACTATTATTTCGAAAATTGATCAAACACAGATAATTCGACACACACACTCTCAATCAAACACAGATAACCCGATCAAACACACACTCTCTTCCCAAATTAGCAGTGTATACATAGATAATTCGAGCCCGTCTCCGAGTGTGGTTTTGATTGAGAGAATGCATCCCACTGTTATTTCGTCGCCTCCGCCGATAATCGAATCCATGGCTCTCTCTCTCTCTCTCTCTCTCTCTCGCTCTGTGTTTACTTAATCATAATTGTTCTGTGCTTGGCAAGAACATGTCCAACCCAAGTCAAATCAGGTGCAAAGGTTCAAGACTAGAACAAATTGAGATTGAAGTTCCAGTTGACACGAGATCTCTTCATAATCTAGTTGAGAAGTCCGCCGCCTTCTCACCTCCTTAAGCCTCACATCTTCTTCTTATCGTATCGCCACCATCACACTCAACCACCACTACGATCTCTTTATTTCTCTCTCACTCTTCCTGTAACCGTTGTAATCGCCATGATCGTCATCGCGATCCGCCATCATTGCAACCCTCACGATCAGATCGCGACCATTGCGACACCAAGCTCCTCAGATCTAGGGCTTTTGGTGGTGGCGGCTGAGATGGATGAGCTTAGAGAGAGAAAGAGAAGAGTTCAATTTAGTGGTGGCAGCACTGGGCGAAGGTTTTGAAATAAGAGACGTCGGGGCAGCAGAGGACGATGGGGGAAGAGAGACAGAACACACAGAGAGAGTGAGAGGGAAGAGAGAGAGAGAGTACAATGATATATATATATATAAAAGATATGTATGTTTATAATATATATATATATATATATATGTATGGCGGAGGTAAGGGCAATATTGAAATTTGAACAATAATTTTGGATGAAATCAACCAAATCTGTTTGAATTTGGACGAGTGGGTAACATAAGGGGTATCTGCATATTAGTTTCAAAAGTAAGGGAGGTCTGTGTAATTTTTGAAACTGTAAGGGAGATTCTTGTAATTAAGGTATACTTCAGAAGAGGTCAGTATAATTTACCCAAATAAATATTATATTGAAACTCATTATACGGCCAAACGTCAGTTCCTATACAAAACATAATCTATCAAGTACATCAAATTAGAATAAAATTGGGCCAATGAAACAAAAACAAGTGGAACGTTTAGGAGGGATTCTATTTATACTCAAAAAATTATTAAGTATTCTCAATTTTTAAGTACATCTTGTTTAATTATTTAAAATTTTATTTTACTCTTATTATCCACTATTATTTTTCCCAAATTATCCTCAAGGTAAACCCAAATAATAAATAATAAACAAACTAAATTATTTCAAATCTTTTCAATACAAAAAATAATTCTCAAATATAAATAATAATAAAAAACCAAACGTATAAGCACATAAGCATTATAAATATTAAAAAAAAAAAACCAAACTTTTCAATATAGGGAAAAAACTTTTATATTATAAATTATCTACAAAAATACTTGTGGAAAAGTAAAAAACCAAACTTATAAGCACATAAGTCTCTGGCACTAACAAGAAAGAGTAATTCTCAAATAATATATTATTTAAATGACAAAATAAGAATAACTTCAATAATATATTATTGTTAATTCAATTACTAGACCCTTTAATTTTTGTCAACAAATGATATAAAAAATAATTGATGGCACTCTACAAAAATTATGAAGCCCCTTTATATGAATACTTACCTCATTTTTTGATGGGTTGCTTCAAAAACCTATTTTGATTATTACTCTCATTCATTATTTGATTTTATTCAAACTTTTTTTTAGGGTTTGGGATTTCAAAATAATAAAAAACAGTGATATTGATGATAATGGTGAGTTTTGGTAGGGTGGATTAGAGTTTTGGACGGAGAAAGAAGAAGAAGAAGAAGAAAAAAAATAACTTTGATCTATTCGGGAAGAATGTACAAAGATTTGAATAGGAATAACTGATTATGGTATACCATAAGAAGAAAAAAAAATATTTAGGATTTAATATGTGTTGTCTTTATTAGTAAATTCATATTAAAATATAATATGAATTAAAATTTATGAACTTAAATTAAATGTACTGAGACATATTTTAAATTCAAATAGAATGCCCCAAACGTTTAATAGTTTCTTAAAAACCTCCTATTACCCCAACAAAAATGCTAGAGGCCCCAAAAATTTTACCAAAAGTTTTACCAAATGTTTCATATGGGGTGGGACCCACATGGGACTCACATTGTGTGGGTCCCACACCCATGTGAGACATTTGGTAAAACTTTTGGTAGAATATTTGGGGTCTCTAGCATTACTCTTACACAAATGAGCAATGATTCATACCCTCTTAAAAGTCTCACCCCCACCACCCCCTCCCCCCCACACACGTGGGGGTTGGGGATTGGGAGATCAGAAAAAAAAAAAAGAAATGGAAGACCAGAAAAAAAAAAAAAAAAAAAGAAGAAAAGTTAGCCAATCAAATATAAAGGGATAAAAGGGGTGACCCCCAAAGGGGTCTCAACCTTTATTGTACCCAAATATGGCCTACAGTTTGTGAAAATCAGACCCTGATTTTTGCAAAAAGCGACCTACAGTTTTGTGAAAAACCAATCCATAGCTTTGTGAAAAACCAGCACAGGATTTTTGCGAAAAACTAGCCCATGTTTGCTGGCCTGTCCAACTCAGTCCGATATTTTTTTTGGGGACTATGGAAAAATATCTAGTTCATAGGACCAAGTTGGGATGAGATTTTGAACCCATTTAATTTTAAATAATGATAGAAATTTTAAAAATTTTACTAAATGTGTCACATAAGTGTGGGTTTCATGTAGGTCCTACAAGACATTTTGATAGAAATTTTGATAGAATTTATGGGGTCTCTAACATTTTTGTTTAATTTCTAGTCTAAATTTGGGATGAGGAGTTTTAATGCTTTTGAATAGTACTGTATTTAAGGCACCAATTACCAAAATCTTATTACCAAGCACATAGGTCAAAATCATAATGTGAAGTCTATTTAGAGGGATGACTATGAATATAATTATTAAAACTGTAGATTTTAGCAATCTATAGTAACTAAATCTCAAATACCCATTTTATAGATTAGGTGCTCATAATAAATGTGGAAAAAAAATTTAATATTATAATTCTTTCTTTGAAATGGTTATCAAAGGGAATAAAGTATCACCGAATTCATTTTATACTTTCTAAATAATAATTATTATTTTTTTTAATAAATGAGATACCATGATGGTATCAATTTACAAATAATAAATGAGCATTCTAATTATCAACTAATCATCTTCTTGACATATTACTGAATCTAAAAAATGAATTTAAAAGATGAACTTTTATATCATTTTTCATAATAGTACATATGCCACTTGAAAAAAAAACCAAAACCCACAATCTGGGCCGAGCTCGAGGATGGGCCGTGTTAGGCCACCCCAATATATGAGTTAGCCTCTGTCAAAGGATTGGATTGCTCCCCAATCCATTAAACCGATCCGAAAAAATCCAAAATTTTTGTATTATAATTTTTTTCCCTCTTTTTGTCAATAAATTATAAAAGTAATAAAAAAAACCCTTGAATTTAGGTCTTATTAGGGCTAAGCCTTTCACTAATGTTATAAGCCCACACTTTTAAGTCCATGAGCAGAGTTTAGGTTTCAGGATGGTTTGACCCAAGCCTTATCTATTGATCAGTCAAAATTTATGAACCTATGCCTTAAGTTTTGGGCTATGTTTGGAATTAAATATTTTAATTTAAAAATTAAAAATTCATTATAAATTGTTAAATTATTATTTTTTTTAATTTTTACATGTTTTTAAATTTTTTTTTTTTTAAAAAATCACTAACAAAATTAGTTCCCAAATACTCTTAGTGTTGGACAGACTTGGCCAATTACTAAGGCCAAGTCAAATATTTCTTTAGCTTGTGTTTGATTTATGGATTTGAAAAGAAATTTAAAAACAAAAAGAGAAAAAAATGTATGAAATTAAGTGAAAGGTTGATATAATTTATTCATATTTTACCTATTTTTTTCCTTTGCCTTTTTTAATTCCTCCCTCAATCATTGAAGTAAACATAATCTTAGAGAGAGGGTATTTTAGTAAATATGAACTTAAATATTTTCATCAACTTCCATAACCGTTCCTAGGACAAGATCCAAGTGGCCTGTCGGAATAACCGTTTCGCGCGCCCTCGAGTCCTTCAATTCCCCTGCAGTTTCTTCATAGGTAAGAAAAAGAAAAAAACCCAACAAATTGCTTTCACAATTACAATTTTGAATCAAACAACATAGAAAATCAAATCATCAACTTTATTAAATCTCTTAAACCCACCTCGATTAAATTCTTATACTTTGTCCCTTCTCTCTGTTTCTGATCAACAAAGAGAAATCAAGGTGATTATTAATTTAAGAAAAGTTTTGTAGAGGTTAGAGAACATTAAAGCATTTGGAAAGGAGATCGCCAGTAAATTTCCGGTTGTGGTGAGTTCAATGGCGTCTTAGGATTGATTTATTGGGTATATTCTGAATCTAGGGTTTCAATTTTCTTTCCTTTTCTTTTAAAGAATTTTTGCAGTTTCATGTTCATGTTATGTTTTGATTAATTTTTTTTATCTGGGTCAACCTTTTTTAATTCAACCTAATGATGATGATATGTAACATTTTCAATATATATATGCATATGATTTTGCTATTTATATTACATGGTTGAGTTCTTCATTGTGGTTTTGTTCAGGTTATTGTAAATTCTTGATTTGGGTTGTGATGAAAACACTCCAAACATTGTTTTTTCCTTTTCTTCTTTTTTGTTTTCCTTGAACTTTCCTTATTATTATTCAATTCCTTTACAAACATCAAACTTTTTTTTTTTTTTTTAAAGGAAGAAGATTACCTGCCATGGTGAGGGCAATTATGGTAACACACATTGCGATAATGACATTGATGATGATCCAAGCCAAAGCATGGGACACAAATCATGTATTTGATCCTTGTTTAGATGCAAAGGTTAAGAGATATGATGGTTTTACCTTCGGTCTTGCTTTCTCGACAAAAGAGTCCTTCATTTTCAATGAGACTCAGCTTTCACCTTGTGATCGCCGTCTTCTCCTCGCTGGCAGCACTGCTCAACTTGCCATGTTCAAGCCTAAGGTGGATGAGATTTCTCTCCTCACCCTCAATGGCACCCAATTCAATCCAGTATGTACTTGTTATCTCCTAAATTTTTGAGTTTGTTGATGATTTTGTTTCCAGAATTTAGAAAACTTGTTTGGCTGCAAGACAATATACTTGAAAAATTTTCAACAAATTTCACAACTTGATTGAACTAGTCTTTGTTGAAGTTTTTCTATGATCTTTTTTTTCTATTTTTTAACAGTTGTGCTAAGAACACAGAATTCTTTTAAATTATTATTTTGGAAAAAATTATGTTTCCAATAAAGTTCAAATTTCTTTAATGTTGGATGATTTTCTCTCTAGAAATGAAAATTTTTGTTTGGCTGCCATGATAATCTCCATGAATTTCATGAACTAGTCATCTTTTAATTATTTGTTCTATGTTTCCAATAAAGTTCGAATCATTTTAATGAATTGAAAGAAAATGTAATTAATTTCTTTTGTGATTTTTATGAATATATATATATATATATATGCAGAATATGACAGGTGGGTATATGGTGGCCTTTGCAGGGCGGCAATATGCAGCAAGATCAGTGCCCATCTTCGTTGCAGATATGACAAACACAGTAACTAGCTTTACTCTGATAAGATCAATTCAGTCAAATCTGATGTGTAAGTAAGTTACAACAAATCTACCTCCAAGATACGCCATGTCTTAATAATTGTTGTCCGACTATGTTATGCACAAATGAATTTAAACCTAATGGTCATAACTCTTTGGTTTAAATCTCAATAGTCATACCTCTCTCTTAATTCAGACAACAATAACAATATTCAACTTTTCAAAATAATCAAAATATATATATATACAAATATATTCTGAAAATGCTTTAACACGCCGTGACGGCCATGCTTGATTTGCCAATCCACCTAATAATTTTTGTTTTGCATACTACAGTATTGAAGCTAGTTATTTATGTTGTTCCATGACAGGTGCTTGAATTCCAAAAGGGCACTCTTCAAAACTTGTATTGGAAGAAGTTTGGGTGTGCCTCATGCACTGGGAAGTCTGTAGTTTGCCTAAACCATACAGACTGCAATTCCAACTTCAAACTGCAAAGGCAGTGGTGGTGCTGTTGACTGCAACCTAGGCATACAGTTCGCTTTCTCAGGCACCGACAAGAACAAGGAGGTCCTCAATTCGTGGTATGAGGTTGCTAATCTCCGCCAATACTCTCTCTTTGCCCTGTACTCCAATCTTCGCGAAACTCTCACCGGACCATTTGGCAACCTTTTTTAAGTTTCAATGTGTGATTTGTTCACACACTACTGATATTGCTTGCCTTCATGTAAGAACAAAATGCAGTTTTGCTAATTTTAAGGGATCAGTTTTATGTACGCTTTGTTAAGCATGTGTTACATAAAATTTGGCACTGATTTGCATAACTGACACCACGTTCAATAGGTCTCTTTGTTAGAACTGCTAATCGCTGTTCTCCAATAAAACATTATTTACTGATATCTAACAAAAAGATTATACTCGTGCAAAATGAACTTATACAGATAGCATATTTCACCTCAACTTTCAAAAACTCATTCCACCTAATATTATATAAAAGAATAATGTTGTACAAATCAACAAATTTTACAAACTTTTTATCAGTTGTTCCTATCACATAATTCACAAACACAACAACAAAGTATGTTAAAAAAAAAAAATAAAAAAAACAAAACAAAGTAAAGAAGGATATTGCAGTAAAAGTAAACAGATAGAGGTAATCAACACCAACCCATTCATGGAACCCTGACAGCTGCTGTGTGGTTCTCAAGCCATGTGAAAGCCATAAGTCAGGTGTTCAAGGGTTGGTAGCAGCAGATATTGGTTACGGAAACTAAAGAGGGTATTACATAATATCTCAAGTTTTTTGAAATGTCATAAATAAAAGCAATCCGAAATTTTTATTTATTTTTTCAAAAAAAGAAAAATTACTAACATGGGGAACGAATAGAGAGACCAGCACTGGTTGTAATTTTTTATTCAGAAAGTCCTCTTGCTGAAAATACTGATTTACTTGAACAACACACCCTTCGATGGGAATTTTGCATTGTTCAAGTAAATCAGTATTTTCAGCAAGAGGACTTTCTATACAAATTCTAATTGTCCATTCCTGTACCGTTAGAAGACAGGGATACATAAAAACTATTTCCCACATCCTAGAAGCGATTTTTGTACATTTATCAAAATCCCATTTCTCTCTCCATTGAGGAAAAGAAAATCACCACAAAGCAGTCAAGGGGCGATGAATATCCGAGTCAGTTTATCTTGCCAATCTTGGATGAATGCATCTTTTGACCCTCAGGGTTATCGGGAAATTAACTATCCACTCTCGGAACGAATGATGGGTAAGTGTGAAGAAAAATGGAAACTCTTGCTATTCGGCTTGGGTGTGCATCTTCTGACGAATATCCAGCACAAGGTCCCGCAGCTCAGGGAAAACTGAAACGAGTACCAGTTCAAGTATTCCATATGCTAGTTGCTTCAAACAGATTGTAGACTGCAAATTCACAGTAAGCCAGCCGATACTTCTTGGTCACAAATATCATTTGAATAATGAAAATAAATCACAGGGATTAAAGAAGGGTTTTACCTGAAGGAAATAATATATATCTCTTGCGGTACGGTGATACTGCTTATGCCCAATCAAGCTGACGAGAGCAGTTGGAGCTCCATCTGAGGAATGAATGAGGTAGGTTGTTAATTATGTTCCTATCCAGGACCATTGTATCCAATTCACACAAGAATCTAGAAAACATGATGACCAGTAAAATTAAACTAAAAAAGTGCCATAAGATCCTAATTATTTGCAGAAAATCTGCTACCAAGATCCAGGCCAATGTCACTTGAGAAAGTCACCTACTATTTTTTTTTTTTAAATCTTTTTTGATCTCATGCAATCTTTATTAAAAAAAAAAAAGAAAAAAAAAAAGAAGATATGCACCATTCTATTCGATATTTTGGTTAAAAAGCCCAACACATTAAATCCATTAATTTATTAAGCTTAATGAAATTTAAATCAAGCCAACACAAAAGACGGGTTGAAACATCCAAGTCACCGTAACATTGAGACATGACATTATTACAGTATAATTCATAAATGAGGTAGTTTGCTGAGGCTATTGTAATAAACAAATGCCAAAAAGATGTACATAGATATGTATATGTATATATAATATGGATGAAAGGGAAGTGGAACATTTCTGTGACTTGCTTCTACTAACCAAAAAGTGACATTATTTATTTATTTATTATGAGCACAGATAAACCAAGCGCATAACAGTCAGAGACCAAGGTTTTCAGAACATAATGTATGGGCAGCCTATATCCTTTCTTTTTTCTTTCTTTTTTTTTCAGTAGAAAGGAAATAGATAGGCACCCTATATCATATACGGGGTATACCATATGTAAGAATTTATGTATTATTGATTGATATCTTGTTGTGTATATTACAAATGGTGAGTGGCTCATTATATAGGAGAGGGTGAGTGTAGTAGGTGAGGAGTAGGTGAGGAGTAGGTGGTGGTAGGTGATGGTTGAGTGGTGGTAGGTGATGGTAAATTTTAACACCATACATTTATACAAAAATAGGTAAACATTAATCATTGCCTTGCAAACAGAGAAAAACCATCCCAAACATAAAAGAATACATGCTTATCAAAGATGTACCAAGACCAAAAAGAAAAGGAAAAGATAGGGAAGAGAAAAAGAAGGAAAAACTTACTGAAGATCATTTTCTTGGTATCACTAGCTCTACGAGCAGCCTCAAGCTGCTGCTCAAAAGAACCAAGTTTAGAGGCCCTACTCCTTGTAGTTTGAAAAGATCGCTGATGAGGTTCACAATCATCTATTTCAGTATGACTATTTAATCTCAGAAAGAATGTACCATCGGGCCAAAGAACCTGACAAAGAAATCCATTATTAGAAGAAGTAAAATATTTGGCGTTGATTCTTTGTCCATTCTTGCACTTTCACAATCAACTGCACCAAAGGTACTAACATAACAAAACACAGAAAAGTACAAGCCAAACTTGAGAAATGATAATAGGATATGCCCCATGAAAGTCATTGTAATTATGTGAAGTGTGAACAAAAGTGAATTCCCTCTTCTTTTTTTGTGAAGAAATGCCACTACAAGCTAGGCTGGTTGAAATAAAATGAAGTCTGCAATGTTGATTGGAGATAAATAAGAAAAAGACATTACGGTGCACACAAAAGGAATTTTATCCTAATTATGCATAGGGTGGTAAATTAGCCAACTTTATCCTTAATTTGGATGCGAGCAAAAAGGAGACTACGTATCTACACAAACAAGTACAACTCAAAAGTTAATATGAATTGTAAAAGACACCGTGCTAGTTCATACAAGGTCTTAGGTTTCAACCATTGTTTAAATACGTTCATATAACACTGGATGAAACTCACATTCAATTGAAAACAACCACCACCACCAACCAGACCAAACAAAACAAGAAGTGAAGAAATCAAAGTGATGGGTTAATAGACTCCAACATACCAAAACTCATCCCAAAGTTCAATCAATAAATAGACAGCTAAGAGTTTTAGGCCCCAATTGGGTTCTGGATGACCCTCAAGAAGGCTCAGCTTGAACTGACCTTGGCACTGCCAATCTATGCCCCTAGTGACAAAAATGCCTGGGATGAAATATGTGCATCCAAAAGAAACAGACAGACACAAGTTTGACGCAACAGATGTTAAAAATCAAGATAAAACAGATTATACAATGCGATCTTCGGTGTTGCCATATTCATTTGAAGCTTTGAATATAATGAAATTTCTCATAGCACCGTAAATCAGATCTTGCCTCACCAATTAAATGATTTCAGTAAAATAAAGATGTTAAAAAAATTGATCAGTCCTTGCATCTTGGACCCACTGAATCCCTTGAGCAATAACATCATCTCTCCGAAGCCACTGAATTTGCCCCAGGAGCCAGTCATCAATAGCATCTTCCATCATTAACTGCAATATTTGCTTTGATATCCAGAAGACCTGTCTTCTGCATATTTAAATAAAAATAAAAAAATCTTTGAGGCTGAATGCTAATGAAACATGTTAAAGCATGATCACATGATCACATGATCACATTTCACATAATCTTCCACACAGATCAATCAATCCACCTTTCTCAAATCATAGGGGATAAAACGGGTTGAGATTAATGGGAACCTCTATGCCATGATTGTGTGACAGGCTTTGAGCATTGAGCAAAAGGGGAAAAAAAAACCACATTAAAACCACCCTGCTAGGGGGTGTCTGCTGCAAGCAAATAAGTTTCAAATCTAGCTAGGAGGACTGGACATCTGGCTTTCAGCATTGAGCAAAAGAAAAAAAAAAGAAAAAAAAAAAAAACACACACACACACACACATTAAAAACCACCCTGCTAGGGGGGTGTCTGCTGCAAGCAAATAAGTTTAAAATCTAGGCCTCCACTTGTGAAGATTGAGCAACAAAATATACAGCAACAAATTTCTGTTCTAGCAAAATAAAAAGCAGCATCACACACCAGATATAAAATTTTAAATATAAATAAATAAATAAATAAAAACACTAACGATGACTTATGATAATTCCCAAGCAATTTTTGATTTTCAAATTATGAAGAAAACATGCAAGTAATCATGTAAGGAAAAGTCTAGCTTACCTTAGCCAGCCTTTTCTCTTTAGCTGAAACATCTTATCAACTAAATTCAACACAGGTAAGCTTACATTAGGTGTTGTCCACTGCAAAGAAATAAACACCAACAGAAGTTTAGACAACACGAAAGGACTGGCATCCAAGAACCAAGCAAGCAAGCCAAACAAAATATTTTTCTGTAAACAGGTTGATTAAGGTTTCTTTCCTTTCATATACCTAAGAGCCCATCTTCGCAATAGCTGACATATGACAAGAACAATGAAGACTCACTGACAAGCTATTTTTACCATTGATATAGGGCACCTGTAAAAGTTTTATAGGGTGACAATAGTAGGTTTTCATTGTTATTAAAGGCTTCTAAAGGTATGGGACTTTAGAGCTTTCTACCAATGTGTAAAAGAGATAAGGGTTAGGAGCTTAAAATAGATGAGAAATTTGGAGGCTGTTCTGGGCTGTGAACAACGCCCAAGAGGGGTACATGTGAACAATAATAGGAGCTTGTATTCAGTTATTAACTTACTTTTGTGTGACATGGATGGATAAAAAGATAGGTTATCAAGCTTAATAACATATGATTTCCAGGGTAAAAGGCCTAAACAGTGCAGAAAATCAAAGATGACAAGATGTAGAAGAATAAGCCCAGTAACACGCCCAATCTACATTATGCCTCACTTAATGTTACAATTGTATCATACAATCCCCATTAGGCTTCAAAGCTGAGAAAAAAGTATATAAAACTTGGTTCATCTACGTAATTCTAACTCTAATAAGAGTTGGAATCCCTTGTCAATTCGTAACCCAAAAAAACCTATTAAATACCCATGATATAGATCCCAAAATCAATAGGTTCTCCTGCAAGTTAAAAGCTTACTTCTACTAATTCCATTCTCATCTTGGTTTTGTCTATAGTGGCATCCCTAATCAATTCTTGTGTAGAAAATTAATGTTGAACTGCTGAACATTCTATTTCAGAAACCAAAGTAGGCCACTCCCAGATAGAAATTCTCTTCCATCTTCATCAGCAACCACTGCCCAGATAAAACTGCCGAAGGGCATCCCTATTTTAGCCATTGAGCTATAAAAAAAAAAAAAAAAAATCTGTTTATTCTCCTTTGAGGAATCTCCTGGAACTCTTAACTGTTCATATGCCCACGAGTTATGCTCAATATTGGTTCAATAAGTTATGAATCAATGACATAAAAATTAAGAAAAAGAGGTTATAATTATAGAAGCTTTTAACCTCCTCAAGTATCAGAATTCACAAGCAGCATGAGAATTAATGTTCAGAAGATGTAATTGTAAAGCACCATAATTAGAGTTGTCATCTCTCCAACAGTGATTTACTGATTAGTTTTCCATGCACTCTACAAATGACAATAGTTAGCAAGGCGGAATTCCTTTCTTTTGACAGAATAATTGCTGTTAATCATACAATTCACTTGGAAATTCTAAATCAAATCCCAAGGAAAATTAATACAAATGATAGATTAAACTCCACTTGACAGAAATCTAGAACCCAGATTCTGAATGTTAACTGTATCTTACATTTCAATGCACTAAAATGCAATTCTGAGTATTTAATAAATTCAATCAATTATACTTATAACATAATTTACTGTTTTCTTGTGGTTAGTTCGGCATCTGGAAATAATAGTTTGTGAACTCATAAGACAACTTCCAACAGATTTGGGGGTTTTGAGTTTCTTTCAACTGAGAATCTTGTTATCAAGAAAAACACATTTTAATCCTTTAACATGAAATCTCATAATAGACCAACATGTTTTCCATGTTTAGAGGGAATCAATTAATTACACCTGATAGGATCAACAATTCAATTTAACTTTTTTTTTTGATAAATAACCAAACTTTATAGATAAAGCATCAAGATGTCACTTTATATCTTCTTTCTTCACTAGATCTTACTCAAGAGATAAAATGGCCATTACCTATCCACAGAGAGAGAGAGAGGCTAAAATGGCAATAATCTTCAATTGTTCCCAAAGAAATAAATATGCATGAACTTTTCCATATACTTTCAAGCTTTATATTTAATTAGCAACCGGAATAAATCTTATAATTTGCTATATGAATCCCCATCTATCCCATTCCTAAGATTCAATAACTCTGTGATAACAGAACAACTTTTTCTTTCTTATTTGTCTTTTATTTATTTATTTATTTTTCTTCTCAGCCTCCCATGCTTTTACCAGGTTTGAAAACATCATAGGATAATTCCTTCTTCAAATTTCCTTTAATTGTTGAAATTCTTCAACCCTGAGCTACAATCTAACTTGTTTCTCATCAATAATTTCAGGTCCAAAGACTCGAGCAATGTTTGGAAAAGACAAAAGATCTTAGAAATTGGAACACACATAACTGTACAGTTGGGAATGGATATGTGTGTGTGCATAGCAATTGGAACACACATAAGAACTACGTTCGCACAAATAGAAGCAAAATATGCATAACTGTAACTGCAGCATATGACAAGAATAGTTCTGGCAGTCAAACAGGAAGGTCAAATACTAATAGTAACATGACAGATGACATTAGGGAGAGTCAATTAGATTGACATGGGCTAAATTTTAGAGACAACACCAAGGTGACAATTCTGCAATGAAGAAAATGACCAAAGATGGCACTTGTGAAGGGGAGATCTAAGGTATATGTGAAGGTCATAAAGCAGAGAAGGAAACAAAATGCAGTCTTCTGACTGCTTGGTACCTCTGGTAGCGCTACAACCGGATCCTCCAAGTGATCAGAGGATACTGGGAAACCTGAGGCAGGATATCCACCCAGGCTGACCGATGGAGATTCTCTATCTGAACCGTGTTTCTTCTCAGGATCTAAGCTTCTAATCTCCTCACCTCGTTTAACCACCCTAGGTGGAAAACCCTTTGTGTTCAATTCATTGTCCGAATGCCACCCACTAGCTTCCACAGTAGGTTCTACTTCCTCATGCTCATTAATACCATCTTTATCACCTTCATCATTATCAGAAATGCTTTTTGCTGATTCTGTGCTATTTTGCCATGAAACTTGTTTAATCATCTCAGCATTAAAGGATAAGTTCCTGCTTGAAATTGCAGGAGACACTTCATGTGGAGGGGAAGATGAACCAACAACTTTGCGCATTAAGCCATCTGAGACCCCTTTGAACTGGCGTACGATATCATCCACTGCATCATCCACGTTCACTGTTTGATTTCAACAAAAATGAATAAATGTCATTTTCAAAGAAAAAATATAGAGGGAAATAAATTCAATCAGCCAGATAAAGGACGTAATTAAAAAGAAAACTGTTAGCATCATGAGCAGATATGAAGATGTGACATGTCAATAGATGTATAACTGGTTGGATCACTAACTGACTGTATAAATTAAAATGTCCATCAGATTACTTCACCCATAATTCTTTTGAAATGAGTATTTGTTTGCTCAAATAATCATAAGTTGCAGGAAAGATAATGTTGGTGGATTTTGTTTGTCATAGCCACCTGGACAAGATTTTGATGTGTGTTACACTTTCAGCTTGCTGAGTTTGAGAGAATCCTCTTCTTCTCCTTCATTTTTGCTGCTGTTGTTGTCGGCTTCATCTTCTTGATTCAGAAAATGCTGTTCATTTGGATATTTTGTGTATTATAATTGGTTTATGTGGCCATAAAATTCTTTTGTTCATCGCAATTTTTATCTGTTGACTTTTGCATTAATTTGTAATATTTTGTTGTCTCCTGCTGTCCTGCACATAGCATGAAGTTTCAAGGGGTATATGTAGTTTCCTTTTGGTTTTGTGTATGTTTTATTATGGAAGAGGGTTATTTGTATTGCAATGTTGTTGATGAACTACATGGTTAATGAGTTAGGAGTTTCCTGACACACTAATGTAATTCTTCACTGTCAAATTGTTTCTGAACCAAGGTTTAAAAATGCGGTGTTACGTAACGGTTTCGGCCGTTACATAACGGTTTCAGTGGTAGGCACCACGCGTTACCCCCAATTTTGCGGTGTGATTGAAATTCACAGGTGTATCGGCCATTACGGCCAACGTAGCGGTCGTAACGGTGGCGTAACGGCCGTAACGGCCCGTTACACCCGTTACAGGGCTTTTTTTGCTGATTATTTTCAAAAAAAAAAAACAAAAGAAATACGGATAGTGCAAATGCTGGTTCAAACAAAAGAAAAAAACAAAAAAACAAAAGATGTGGCACATACCTTTATTATTCAGAGGCTCAATCACTGGTTCAAATGCTTTGCTTTACAGCACATGAACCACTTCGAGGTGAGGTGTATCCATCCACAAATTTTCAGATCTGAAATACGGATGATATGAGTGAGAAATAGAGAGAGAGAAGAGAGAAGAGAGAAGAGAGAAGAGGGAGGAGATGAACCTGCCTCTGTTCTGTGACTCTCTGGCTGCCCCTTTGTTCTTCAACACAAAACTCTGATCCAAGGTTCTGAAAAGCGGTTGCGGGGTGTAAAGACAAGAAAAATAGGTCTACAATTAGAAGAGAATTAACTCTACTGTTTCAATTTTCCAAAAAATAATGGAAGAAGCAAAAGAGTAAACAGGGCTTACTTGTCAATATGTCAATAAAACCCACGAGAGAGAAGCGATAGTACAATAACAATGTCATATAACTTTCCAGCTTCTGATGCACTGCCTGTTTGGTGGCCTATGAATGAGGCTTACGGGCAAGGAAGAAGTACATCGAAGTGAATATGTTCTTCCTATACAAGTCAATTGCATTAATCATCAATGCCTCAAAACCGAGAAGTGTAAGTACTTCGAGAGAGGCAACACAATTGGAACCAAAAAAAAACCTATGCAGTAAGGTTCTGAAAAGCGGTTGTGGTCGCCGTAATGGTGGCGGTGGCGCGGTTGCGGTTGCGGTTGCGAGGTGTAAAGGCCGCAGCGTAACGGTTGCGGTCACCAGAACTGTGAATTTTTTTATTTTTCGCACAATTTACAAAAAACTTACCGGTACACATATTTTTTTTTTAGAATCATATTTATTGGGTTTTAAAATAAATTTAGATAATTTTTAAGTATGATCCAATATATATCATATTTTTAAATCACTATAAAATAATTTTTTTTACATTTTATTTCAATAATTAATGACTTTATATGTCATAAATCCATGTTACACTTGTGGCAAAAATTTCTTTTATTAGACTTAGATGTATAAAATTATTTTTAATTATTATACTTGTGGAAGCATATATGCATTTTAACTCAAACAGTTTTAAAAAAGTATACATTTTTAATGGAAGAACTTGACAAAGTACATAACATCATAGCATAAATCACAAATAATAGAGAGTACATTTTACATAATGTTACTACTAAAATTACATAATGTCACCACCAAAATGAGTGACGTGGTGCATCTTGGGATTCGGATTGTTGAGCTTGATTACTACTATCTTCACCCCATCCAGTAGGAAATATATAAGTAAATGTGCTCATCATGTCATCCTTTTCTATTTCGTGCACTGGGAGAGAAAATGGATACCTTGGCTGAAAAGGATCAACATACTTTTGTTGGGCTTGTTGATAATTTGGCAAACCGTATCCTGGAGGACCATGTTGTTGAGGGAGCCAAGGATAATTTTGTTGAGGTGGGTAAGGATAGCTCTGGCTATCACTGCTATAGGATGGGTAAGGATGATATGGATAACTATGACTACTATCAGATGAATCAAGCTGTTGTTCTCTACTTCTTATTCTTTTTTCATCCCTACGTGTATCACTACCACGAAACCTCTTAGGTAGTTGGGGTAAAGGTGCAACAGGTTCTCCAATATCATAATGTTCCCCAACATCACATAATCCAAATCCTCCAATAAAATCTTCACTTCCTGCACCAAAACTAGTACCATCACCGCCATCACCACCATTGTCGCCGCCACCACCACCACCGTCACCGTGAGAAGTGCCTTCACCATCACCACATTACCACCATTGTCGCCACCACCACCACCGTCACCGTGAGAAGTGCCTTCACCATCACCATCATCACCTTCTCCATCAGATGGTGTTAAACCACCACTATTATCACTTTGAGTTGGAGTAAGAGTTGAGCTTTGAGAAGTGCGTCGAGCTTGATATCTATGGGTGCCACCACCATCGTTTCCATCGCTGCCATCGCCATTGCTGTCGTTGCCACCACCACCATCATCATCTGAGACCAAATCTAGCCATTTAGAATTATTCACACCATCTAGCAAAGAATTTTCCCTTTCTTCTATTCATGGACTTATTCGATCATCTTCTTCAAATATATAATCCAAGTTAATAGGATTAAAACTCCTATCAATCTCCTCTTTGGCTGCTTCTTTTAACGTGTCACAATTTTAATCTCATGTTGTAGGTGATGAAGACTAATCTTTGGATTTTTTTATATTTTAATCTATTCCTCGTCTTCGTATGGATGAGACTAAAAGTACTCAAATTATGTTCACAGTGAGATGATGTGGTGGTTTGACTTAATACTTTCACAGCTATTTTTTGAAGTTCAGGAGCGCAACTGCCATGAATAATCCACCACTCAGCTGCACAAAATTACATTACATTAGACATAAGTCAAAATATGATAGAAAATTATTTAAGTATTCATATATTGTAATTTTGTAATTTTGAAAATAAAACCTGGATTTGATTGTTTCCATGCTCTTTGTGCTAAAGGAGTACCAAAAGTTTCCTGTTTATCTCGAAACAGCAACAACTGTAACACCATATTGGAATTGAGGATTTAAAAAATATCCTTCAAAAATAAGAAGACAATTAATAATTTTAAATAAATATACATTTTATAATTGAAATCGTAACACTTACCAGCCGCATGCAAATCTTGATGCAATTGAAAAGACCATCGAGTATCAATAATTTTCCAATACTCGGTGTAGTAGCGACAATCTCTTTTAATTGCCAACTTTGCTCTATCTATAGTTTCATATATGAAACCCATTGTTGGCTTCTCATCTCCATCAACCAACCTCAATACTCTGACTAGGGGCTCATGAACTTTACAAAGCTCTGTTGCTTTCTGCCAAAACTCCTTTCCCAAAATAATTTTTTTCACATTGTAAGGCTGCCCAGTCTTTGCCTTCCCCCATCTAGAATTCTTCCACTCATCACTATTAAACATAGCTCTCAATTGTTGTTTATATCTAACAATACTCTCAATGGCAATAAAATTTGTAGCAAATCGAGTGATGGCAGGTCGAATCAATTCTCTACCTCTAGTGAATTTTCTTATTAAATCCAACACCCATCCACTATTATAAATGAAATTGGTGATGGTTTTACCATCTTCAATCACCTTTGCTACATTTTTCTTATTGGCTATGTCTTTTAGCATGAGATCGATACAATGTGCTGAACAAGCTGTCCAATATAAATGTTTCCTTTTTCTCATTAACATTTTACCGGCTGCTTTCAGTACAGGTTCATTATGAGTTACCACTTGAACAACGTATTGTTCTCCAATTTCATCAACAACTTTATATAACAACCCAAAATAATATTCAGCAGTCCTACTAACAATATTAGAGGCATCAATTGATTTGTGAAATATAGTACCTCTATTGCAGTACACTAAGAAGTTGATGATGTGTTGCCGAGTTAGACTGCTCCAACCATCACACATGATGGATACACCTCTCTCTGCCCAAATTCCCTTGAATGATCCTATCCATTCTGTCATTTCATCATGCTCCATGCCCAAATATACTTCAGAAACTTCATAAGCACTAGGACCCTTTACTCCTGGCCCTACTTCAGCAGCAACATCAAGCATGGGTTGTGTATACTCTGAATCAACTGCATTGAATGGAATACGATTATAGAGTATAAACTTGGACACTGCCCGTCCCAATCTCTCTTTTAGCTTCTGTAAATTCATTGTGGAGATTTTTCGCTGTTTTGTACTCTTGCTCTTTTGGAGTTCTACATCCATTGCCCTCAACCTTGCTTCAGGAGCATTGGGCTTAATCCAATTACGTCCACTCCCACCAGTTTCACGCACAGATTGTGATCGACGAAAAACATTAGCAATACCTGACCCTTTTGGCACTACCCCCTGCACCAGAACTACCACCTGCATCGTATTGTGATCCATGACCTGCAACACCTCGTCTAAATTGTTGCTTTTCCTCCCATTGTTGTTGTGAACGAATACTTGCTTGTCTAGCCCTGGTCATCTCTAGATCAGAGTCAGAGTCATCATCTCGAAGATCTACAAAATCTCCCTCTTCATTTTCATCATAGAGATCATCTCCCCTAATATGTGCTTCCAATTCAGCTTTTCTCTTTTGTTTGTCTACTTTACTCATTTTCTTATTTTGTAAATGTTTCATCATTTCTTGCATCACGTCTCTACTAACATTAGGACAAGAACGCACTTGTCCTGTTTGATGTGTTAAATGTTGTTTGAAACGCGTAATCTCACCTTTAATGTGATGTCCACAAAATTTGCAAATAATATGGTGCCTAGTGCCTTTAACTTGAGTTCCAAATTTCCAACCAATATCATCACTTGGGGGTTCATCATTGGCACCCTTTTGTCGTGGCATTTTTGAATATGAATTCTGTATCATTAATACATTTTTTTAATTTATTTTTAAATGAAATGATTGTAAAAAAATATTTAAAATTAAATACTAAATAAAATAATTATAAAAAAATGTAACCACTATTTATACATTTGGATTTTACATGCCAATGTAATCATATAACGCGTGGTGCCTACCAACGAAACCGTTACGCAACGGCCAAAAACGTTACGTAACACTGCATTTTTAAACCTTGCTCTGATCTGTTTACGTCTTCACCGAAATGCTACTTCCACAGGTTCATCTCCTCTGATCTTCTTTTTTTATTTTGTTTTGTTTGCTCAGCTTCCTGAACCGAAGTCTCTGATCTTCTTTTTGTTTTGTTCATCTCCTCCGAAATGCTGCCCCTTTGTTTTGGTTTTTTATTTTATTTTTGTTTGCAGCTTCCTGGGGAAGATACACCTTGGGAAGGTATATAAATTATATAATATAATATAACATTTGTTTTTTTTTTTTTTTTTTTTTTTTTTTTTTGGCCGC